CCTTGAGGTATTTTATATCCATTTTTCACATGATGACGCTAAGGCACTGAGAAGTCAAGTAACTGTCCCAAGGTCACACAGTTGATGGTAAGACTTTGAACCAGGTTGTCCAATCCCACATCCCAACCTGGTAACCACTAGGCTATTTAGGTCCCTAGAGACCTTTCTGAGGATTGAAATTTTAAAAACCGGTGTTGAGGACTCAGGTTTATCTTCTAATGTCAGGAGCAACTAAATTCCAGTGTTCCCTGTTTTAAAACCTAGCGTGAAATATTTATTTTATTTATTTTTTTAAGGATTTTATTTCTTTGACAGAGAGATAGCAAGAGAGGGAATACAAGCAGGGGGAATGGGAGAGGGAGAAGCAGGCTTCCCGCTGAGCAGGGAGCCCGATGTAGGGCTCAATCCCAGGACCCTGGGACTATGACCTGAGCTGAAGGCAGACGCTTAACGACTGAGCCACCCAGGCGCCCCTAGCGTGAAATATTTAAACACAAGGGAAAAGCTAAATCCACCAGTTAGGCTGAAAGCATGAAAACATCCATGGCATTATCTCCCCCTTGACGACAGGAAAATAACATCCTTTATTTGGGGTATTCTCCTCTTGGTTGGGTTGCTTAGGGATACCGATCTGGAGTATACGCTCCTAAGTGACATTGTATTGGGAGAACCAGAATATACTCATGAACAGAATATGTGCTATGCATTAAATATCTCTGGAAGGATTTTTCTTTTAATGGTAATATGGATTGTCCGCAGGAGGGGAGCTGAGTATGTGGGCAGAAGCGGGAGACTGTTCTATGTACCTCTGAAATTTACAGCCATGTAAATGGATTATCTACTCAAACAATACACACAAATTATAGACAAGATCCTGCCGGTCTTTGTGTGTGTGTTGCATGTCTGTATGTATAACTCTGAACCCTATTTTTCTCGGTCACTATGATATAACCATTTTCCCACGGTGCTGAAATTTTTCGTAAGCCTATATCCTGTATGTATATAGATCCTTGTTAAAAAATCTCATGAAATTTGAGTACTCCCAAGATCGAGAACTTGTATTTCTCAATTTCCTTTGGGATTTATTAATGTGCATCATTATGTCAACATTCAGAATCTCCCATTTCCTGAAAGACTGGCCAACATTTATTAGGGCTGTCCTATGTTTAGGATATATCGCATTTGTACCAAAAAAAAAAAAAAAAAAAAAAAACCTCATTTGATCTCCACGACAATCTGAGGTAGGTAACCTAATCCTCTAATCCTCATTTTAGATGAGAGCGCCGTGGTTCAAAAGGTTCCAATAGCTGAGAAATCATTTGGTGGGTACCTGTATCCAGGAGCCTAGATTTCAGGTACCAGGCTTTCTCCTTACCAAAGATGTGGAGCTTTCAGGGACAGCTTCCCTGAACTCCAGTGTCTAAATCCAATAATCCTGGTTACGCCAACATGTGATGGCAGCCAGGGAAGCCCTGGGCAGACCTTGGAAGGTAGCACCGAGCCCAGGACAACCGAAGGCAAATGAAGGAGGGCAACAGGCCCTGCGGCCCGAGGAAACAACAGGAAGCACTCCCAGAGGCGTCCAAGTCCGCGGGGGCTCGGGAAGGTTGGGAGTCTGCGGGGAGAAGGTAGGCAGAGGGGGCGGGAGCTGCTGCAGAGGGCTCTCAGGCGTCACTCTGGGGAGCTAGGAGAAGCCCAGGATGGCACATGTGCTGAGGACCCTGGCACGGCCACTCCACAAACCACGGGGGTCATGAGAGACTTGCACTATTTGATCAACACACAGATGATGAAACTGTATTGAGGGAAATGTCATCCTCCACTAGCAGAAGGAAGCAACGAAGGAGAGGGCCCAGGTGACTAAAAATAACATTGTGACCTAAAAATAACTGGTGGTCGACATGACAGGAACAGGAAGCCAGGGAGATCAATGAGGGTATCTTAGGTTATCTCCTTTGGTGTTGGCAAGCATGCTTCCAGCGGCTGCCATCCCCAAGTGCTCGCTGTGCAACAGCACGCGCAGGCGTGCTCTATCAGACCTTTATGAGGTGGGCATGATCCCCGTTTTTACAGATGAGGACAAGAGCTCAGGAAAGTAAAGAGTGTGCCCGGGGAGACAGAGCATGTATGTGGTGGGGCCAGTGTAACCAGAATTGGCAGTATAACAGATGCCAGGACAATCCAATTAAAATGGCCAGCTGAAAAACCAACCAACTAACCAACCAACCAACCAACCAACCAACCAATCAACCAACCCAGCCAGCTGTGTGAAGCCAGGCAGGGGGCTGAAGATGTCACGAGAAGCCTGGGCTGATGGAAGTTGCATGTGTGTGGTGGGGCGGGGGGGGGGGGGGGGGGGGGGGGGGGGGCAGGAACTCCAGGTAACAGAAGCGGGGCTGGGGAATGAACTCCAAATTGCACCCTGGAGAAACGTACCGCGGCAGGTAGGAGCGGGGTCACCTGGGTGAGGTGAGACTGATGCTTCTGGCATCAACACATGGGATGAACTGAAGGTAGGAGGAGCCAGAGAAGGGGAGGCTGCCCAGTGGACTGCAGCCTTCAGCCTGGATGTAGTAACGAGGAGGAAACTAACATGGGGATGAGCAAGAGTAGAAGGCAAGGGTGGGAGAGGGTTCAAAAGAAGAAGAAACCTGTGCACTAGGGCTCTCTGTCGACAAGTGACCTGCCCCATGCCTGTGCCAAAATCCAAAAATTGGGGTACCTGGGCTTAAGGTCAGTGTTGAAAGGGAGATTTCTAGGATGTACAAGTAATGAGAAAAAGTAAGACTGGACATCATCAAAGTTAAAAACTTCTGTGTTTCAAAGGGCATCAGCAAGAAAGTGAAGACAACCCACAGAAAGGGAGAAAAAATTTGTAGATCATGTATCTGATAAGGGACTTGTATTCTGAATGTATAAAGAACTCTTATAATTCAATGATACAAAGACAAGTAACCCAGTCAAAAATAGGCAAAGGATCTAAAGACAGTTCTCCTAGGAAGATACAAAAATGGCGAACAAGCACATGAAAAGATGCTCAGTATCATCAGTCATCAGGGAAATGTAAATCAAAACCAAAATGAGGTATCACTTCACCCCCAATAGGATGGCTAAGTTAAAAGACAGACAATAACAAGTGTTCACAAGGATACGGACTGACAGAACCACTGTGCGCCTCTGACGATTATACAAAATGGCACAGCTCCATTGAAAAATAGCCTAGCAGTTCCTCAAAAGGTTAAAGAGAGTTCACGCACGCACCACCAAACCCACTCCTAGGTAGACAGATAACCCAAGAGCATGGAAAACATACGTCCACACAAAACATATGTCCACACATTATTTGTAAAGGCCAAAAATGGAAACAATGTAAATGTTCATTAGCTGAAGAATGGCATATTACCTGATCATAAAAGGGAATAAGGTCACATACATGCTACAACATGGATGAACTTTTGCTCACAAGAACACCAAAAGGAAAATGTCAAAAGAAAAAGTGGGTTTTAGCTCAAATATCATTTTTATTTAAAAAAAAAAAAAAGAGGTCCAGGCTATCCAAATTATCCTATTCAAAAACCCCTTTCCAATATCTAAGTTGGAAATAAAAAACATTTTTAAAAGTTTACTATAACTAACAAAATAATTCCAGGTCAAGATTATCCTAGAGATTCTATTCGATGGGCTAGATTAATACTTTAGAGAATGCACACTGGTCTCAGATGTGTTGGCCGCCAAAGTGCCTTGAGCTCCCTGAGCCTGACTGCCTTCAGATGGGACGTGCACATGCCAGTCTGCCAACCTTCCAACCTGGTCCCCTTCACCCAGTAGCATCTCCTACCGCATCCTTCCCTGTACCCCCCACCAATTGTACATATCACGTTTATAACCACTTCATGGTTTTGAATCGTCCTTTCCGTTTAAATGTCCTTTTCTGTTTACCGGGGGCACAGGCAGGAGAAAGAATCTGAGTTCTCGGTCGGGAACATGCTCCTGATGAGACCACCACCACCCCTACAGGCCAGTATTTCCTTTCACCATGCTGTTTCCTGGGACAGGACAGCTGACAATTAAAAACACTCTTTAGGCAGGTGCGAGGAAGAAAAGGTGGAGGTGCAGGTCCGTAGGCACGGCAGGGCAGAGGCAGACAAAATCAGGATGAAAACACAGGGGGCAAGAGAGCGAGAAGGAGCAGGCTGAGGCCAGCAAAGGCCAAGCGAGGTACCTCCCGCCCTTCTCCCTCCAGGACCCCCGCACCCTGACCGCATCCTCCCTTCCTACCTCCTCACTGAAAAGGACCCCTCTTTCCTTCCTTCCTCATGACTGTAAGAATGAATCAGAACTGTTTCCTTCACAGTAACTACACGACATAATTTTCCACTCCTCCTACCTCATTTACAGATGAGGGAATCGAGGCCCACAGCAGGCACGGGTCTAAACTGTGGTTTTTAAAATCGTGTTTGCCACAGTCCAAAGAGTGTAAATAGATAAATCAGAGCTGACCCGACGAGCAGGCTTGCCTCTGCCCTGGGGGGACGAGAGGGGGTTCTGTGGGGCAGTTTTAAACTACTGGTATGAAGTGACAAACGTGGGCCTGGGTCCTGCCCCAAAGCCATAGCAGTGGCACTGTATGAATTAGATTTTCTTATTTTCTGTATTCTTGATACTCTGACCACGGGGG